TGGGACCTTGCTTTTCCTTGGAGTTGTTAAATAAAAGGAGGTCAGGGCTGCCCTGCAAGGCAGCACAAACACAAAGCAGCCTGGCGAGGGGCAGCTGGAGGGGCCGTGCAGGGCCCTGATCCTCGGGAGCCGGATGATAGCCCCAACGGAAAGGTGATTTTCCGAGTGGCTTGCCTGTGGGTCTGTAGAACCAGGGCGTTCCCTAGAGAGATAATAATGAGCCTTAATGACTTTTCAGTTCAGGGTCCGAATTATGGTTTTATTTTGTGGAAGGGCAGCCCCTCCTGTAGAGTAGCAGCTCTGCCATGGCTGGTAAACTCTCTCGTGAGATGCTGATGTGGTCGTGAGCACAGATGTTTTCTAGCAAAACGTGCTCTCCTACACAAGTTACCTTTTGTGGTTCTGGAATTATCTTTGCATAGTCAATGTCTTTCAGGGTGACTTTTCAAGATTTTTAAATATATTAAACTGGCTTTTCTTACAGACGGCTTTGCACACTGACACTTTGGGGTTGTATCTCAACACAACAGGTTGTTTGCCAGAGGAATACGGAAAAAAACCCCAACCCCTTCCTGTGTTATCAATTAGGTATAATGGGCTAGGTCAGGCTTTATTAATAATGAGTTGAACAGGAGCGTAAAAGGAGTTTTGGCAGTTGTGAATGAAAACTACCTAGATAAAAGGAGAATATTTAACAATGGAGTTGCTGCAGATTCAATTAAGACTAATGAAAAATACACTTCTTTCTAAAGCTTATTTTCAGAAATACTGTTACCGCTGCAACTGCTGCTCAGCAGTTCCCAGCCATCTCTCCAGCCCCCGGCACAGCACTGGTCTCTGCATAATGCAGACACTGAAATGAGAAATCAGCAGTTCGTAAGGGGCTCTCAAACTAAAATTAAACATTGATTTCCTGGCTTACAGTCAGATGGTTGGCATTCAGTTAGCTGGGCAAAGATTTCTGGACCAGAGCAATTCTTATTCCGATATTGATGTCACCGAGGTTGTGTTTTGTTGATTTTAATTCCTGGATTCCCTTGGAGAACGTGGTGTAGAAACAAGGTGTTTGATGTGTAGCTTACCCTCCTGTGCCGTGGTGGGAACACGGCCAACGTGTGCCTGCAGGGCAGACACACCAAGCTGTGCTCCAGGTTACATTTGCAGCTGTGGCTCTTTCTAGGAACGTGCAGTTTCCCAGCAAGAATGAGCATTCTGGGTGTGCTGAGTGATGCATTTTGCCTGTTGCATTATTTGAGTTCTGCGTCCAGCAGCCATGAATGGGCATCACCAGCACAGGGGACCTGCAATTAAATGTCCTCTCCTAAGTGACAGCCCTTCACTTTCTGAGTTACGGGAAAGTGGCTTCATCCACTCAGTGTGATCCTTCACCCTTTGACAGGCAGCGGTGTGCTCCACCAACAGCCCGGCACTCCAGTGCTTTTATTTTTCCTTTTTTCTCATCAGTGACTTGGATTCTCATCTCCCAGCCGAGAGGACCAGGGTGCTTTTCCTGCATTGCTAGTGGCTCAGTGACCCAGACCACTCCGGGTTGCCTTTGCTCCGAGTTCCTTCTTTACTCCTCCTCCTTCAACTGCTCTTACTGTCACGACAGCGCCCGGGGCCTGTCTGGGAGGTGGCTTGGGAGGAGAGACACTGCCAGGGCTGTAGGTCTTTAGGTGAAGAGTGGAACACATTGCGTTGCCTGAGGGAGGACTTTTTTTCTGACAGATCTACAGCAAAGGAATTGTTTCAGCATCCCAACGTGGATCTGAGCAGTCATAGAATCATAGAATAGTTTGGGCTGGTGTCCCTGCACATTGCAGGGGGTTGGACTAGATGAGCTTTAAAGGTCCCTTCCAACCCTGAGTAGCTCTGTGGGATTATCCAGCCTCAGAGAGATTGTCCTCAGCGTCAGACAACCCCTTTTCTCCCTTGGAAGGGAAATGGCCACTCAAACCAGCAGGATTGTTTGCAGTTTCTCATGACCCTGTGTTGGATTGCTCCCCTCTCTTCTGGTTTTCGTGTCTTGGTTTGTATGTAAGTGCTTAACAGAAAAGACGTCTTCATGTAGAGGCTCCCACAGGCGTGAACTGAGTTTCCCAAAGTGTTCTTTGATGTCATTGTTGTTACCTTCTATACAGCAAATGTATGACAGGAGAGTTTCCATTTTCTGTTAGAATTCCTCAGGACTTTCCCTAATACCTCTTCTGTTCAGTCCTGCTGCGTGATGGCGTTAGTGCTGAGATGGTTATAATTTAAGCATAAGCCACTTTTCACATCAAATCTCAATCCTGAAATTAATGTTCTTCTGGAATTAGGATTACAATACAAAGCAGAATTTGCAAATAGGTCCCTAAAAGACAGACCTGATTGACCCAGTCCCAGTGACTCCTGTTGCCCGGGAGGATTCATCAGGCCCTGAGCTGGCACAGTCCGATCCAGAGGGCTCGAGAAAAACACCCTGAAGTAAACAATATTGAGCAATAAGTTGCAGATGAGGCTGAAGCAAACCGTGAAGCAGAAAGGAATGGCTCTGTTAGAAAATGAATGCATTGAGCTAATGAATCATTTTGAGGCAAAAGGAGAAATTAAATGTATGCTGGAAGCTGGCACATTAGTAAATGGGCTGTGGGTTTTTATCCATTTTACATTTCAGAACGCTGAAATAAAGTATGTCTTATGGTGAAATCCCATTAAGAAATAATGCTCTGAGTAGGGAAACAAGGGTTTGGTTAACAGGAAACGGGGACTTGGGTTCTCTTCCCAGAGCAGCCAGGGACTGCTTCTGCGTCGTGGGGTAAGTCATCGTTGGGTACCAATCTTCGGGAGAAGAACAGCCAGCAGAGCTCATGCTTGACAGTTCACTGATAAGAGAGAGGAAGAAAAGGATTGACCTTTTCTTGCCAGAGTTTGGCACAGGACAGTGATGCTGGGTGCTCCGATAGCGTCGCGGGGATATGGAAGTGTGCAGTTTGGTCAGGGCACACAGCTGGTGCCCTGTCAGCTTTTCATTCTGAAAGTGAAGCACTTTGGATCCCAGATTTCCCATTTCAGGTCGGCTTTTTCCCTTCATTCAAAGACAACCGTCCTTTCTCAGACTCTGGGAAGACCCTCCCAGCTGTCAATATGTGGAGTCTTTGTACATAATGTTCCTTTTAAGGAAATCCTGTCAAGGAGCTTAATTATTTGCACTGGCTTTTGGTGTCGTGATGTCTCACTGGTGATCAGTCAGTGAATTTAGTCTTTATTTAAAGTATGCAGTGGGGCAGCATTGCCATGCAACAGTGGTGTGTGGTGGAGCAGCACTGGCAAACCATGGGGCAGGATCAGTGTGCCATGAGGTAGCGTCGGCACGCAGTGTTGGCGTGCCGTGGGGCGGTGTTGGCGTGCCGTGGGGCGGTGTTGGCGTGCCGTGGGGTGGTGTTGGCATGCCGTGGGGCGATGTTGGCGTGCTGTGGAGTGGTGTTGGCGTGCTGTGGAGTGGTGTTGGCGTGCTGTGGAGTGGTGGTGGTGTGCCGTGGGGCAATGTTGGCGTGCCATGGGGCGATGTTGGCATGCCATGGGGCGGTGTTGGCGTGCCGTGGGGCGATGCTGGCCTGCCATAGGGTGATGTTGGTGTGCCATGGGGTGATGTTGTCATGCCGTGGGGTGATGTTGTCATGCCGTGGGGTGATATTGTCATGCCGTGGGGTGATGTTGGCATGCCATGGGGTGGTGTTGACATGCTGTGGGGTGACATTGGTGTGCTGTGGGGCGATGTTGGCATGCCATAGGGTAATGTTGGTGTGCCGTGGGGTGAT